ACACACACACACACACACACACACACACACACACACACACACACACGCCATGAACTTAGCAGATGAGTCCTTATCCTTTGAGGCATTTTCTTGACCTCATCTGGGTACCCACCCCACCTGACAGGGAAGCTCATTCTTACTCTTGACTTTAGTGATGTCACTCTGCTGAATGCATACAAATGTCACTCTTAACAGACAAGTGACAAGGCTCAGTACTTATTGGAGATACAGAAATGTCACCATATCCATCTTTACCATGGTGTCAGTCCATAGCTCCCCTTTGAGTCTAAAATACTATCCTCTCTTTAGGTCTCTTAAGTTGCGATGGAGGCTGAATGGAGGGCTTATAAGTCTGTGAAAAGTTCCCCAAGAGTATAGTTCAGACTAACTTTGATTTAGAAACACCTGCCCTCCAACAATGGATTCACAGGAACTAAAGGCTGCACCTCCCAGGTGAGGAATAGCAGCTGGAAACCCTTTGTTCCAAGTCTGAACTTCCCCCGTAGAAGGCTGCTACTACTTTTACATAAGTAAAGGCTGGCGCTGACATCCTAGAAAATCCACATGAGCAAGTGAGTGAAGTGAAAACTCACTGAGTGGGTGCATCTTCTGACTCAGAGATTTGATAAACCTCAATGAAAGCACTTTCTGGCTGAATAGTGGCTCAGTGTGTGTGTGTGTGTGTGTGTGTGTGTGTGTGTGTGTGTGTGTGTGTGTGTGTGTGTGTGTCCCCGGTTCACCCCCAGCACTTCAAAAAATATGTTCAGTATAAGAACTCTGGGGTAGCCAGCTCAGATGCATATGTGGTGGTTTAAAGGGGGTGTCTTAGGCATTTGAACACTTGCTCTAGATGCTTGGGAAGGCTTAAGAGCTGTGGCATTGTTGAAGGAAGTGTCACAGGAGGTCAGCTTTGAGAGTTTAAAGACTTCTGCCAGAGTTGAGTTCACACTTCTCTGATTCATGTTTAAGGTTTAAGATGTGAGCCCCCAGCTTCTGGCTCCTTCCACTACGTCTTCATCCACCATCATGGACTCTAAACCTCTGAGACATAACCAGTAGGAAAGTAGTTAATACAGTGCAGCTGCCTTTATGAATGCTTAGAGCTGGGCAGTCTAGCTGAGTTGAGAAGGCTTCCAGGCAGTCTCACAAGGCAGCTCCAGAGCCTCAGATCTAACTGAACCCTGGGGACTCGACTCCCATCAGTCAGAAGTACAGAGCAGGTAAAAACAGCAGCTTCCAGAGTGAGTGGTTACTAGGCTTTCCTGACATCCAGAATGTACATCCTTATCACCACTGCGAACACTGGATGGAAGCTACCCTTGGAAACTGACAAAGCTGGCAGCAGGTCTGGGGTTAAAAGTAAGGAGCGTCTCTCCAGTGAGACTCCTTGGAACACAGTTGTTTCCAGAAGATCCTCTGTCACCACAGGGAGTTTGCACACATGCCACATGATGGTATCATCCTAGAGTCCCTGTGAGCATTTCCCTAATAGTTACCAAGCCATTGTCACTCTAGTGAGTCTCCTGCTCTAGGTCGTGACGTTGCAGTCTGGGCAAACCCTTTGGGGTGCAGCTGGACCTGGAGGCTGGCTTCCCTTGGTGCTCTGACCCTTTTGGGCCTCCATATCCTCATCTACAAAATGTGATTTGGATTGTGTGAGAAACAATTGAGTTGCTATCTATAAAAATAAAGGTCTATGAAAACATTATCTGCTTCCTTCAGAGCCATTACCCTCCTAAGGTATACTTCCTGCTGTGTACTCCTCAAAGTGCTTTAAAAAAAGGGATACTCTGGCTCATTCATTCATTCACTCATTCATTCATTCAACCCACACTCCTTTAGTGGCAAGTCACAAGGGTTAGGATTTGGCTTTGGGAAGCTCACTGGGGGCAGTGAACAAGTAGAATTCATGGCATATGCATTAGAGGGCTCACCAGGCAAAGAAGGAAGAAGGCAGGGCAAACTTCCTTACTGAAACCATTAAGATCCTTGAAGAATCATTAGACATCTTGGATAGACCAACAGGGGTTGGACATGTTATGTTATAGGATGCACATGAAGAATGGGCCTAACGATGGGGTCCTCTTAAAGGTCCTCTGATAAAGAAAAGCATGTAGCTCTGTCTCCAAGAAGAAGAGGAGAAGGGCTGAGTTAAGTAAGGAGGGAGCAAAACAACTATTTTGTTTGTTTGTTTGTTTGTTTTTTCAAGACAGGGTTTCTCTGTGTAGTTTTGGTGCCTGTCCTGGATCTCACTCTGTAGACCAGGCTAGCCTCAAACTCACAGAGATCCACCTGGCTCTGCCTCCCGAGTTCTGGGATTAAAGGCATGTGCTACCACCACCGCGCCAAAACAACTCTTTACAGTAGCTATGGGCCATGACTTTGGAGAGGTAACGGGAAGGGTCTCCTTGGAGGACGAGAGCTGCTGGGGTAGTATCTTGGTTGCTTTTCTAATGTTGTGATAAAATGCCATGGCCAAGGCAAATTACAGAAGGAAGGGCTTATTTGGGGCTTACAGTTCTAGAGGGATAGGAGTCCATCACCACAATTCAGGGAGCATGGAGGCAGGCAGGCAGACATGGTGCTGGGGCAGCAGCTGAGAACTCACATCCTGATCCACAAACAGGAAGCAAAGAGCACCCTGGGAATGGCATGACCTTTAAAACCTCAAAGCCCATCCTTTGGACACACCTCCGCTAACAGGTCACACCTCTTCTGAATCCTTCCTAAACAGTTCCACCAACTAGGGACCAAGTATTCAAACATATGAGTCTGTGGGGTCCACTTGTATTCAAACCTTCACTGGCATCATCTCTCAATAAGCACTTGCATCCCCTAGAGGGAACTCATTACTCTGAGAACCTATCTGCACATGAGGGAATTCCTGGTTGCTGGCCGTTCCTCTCCATCATGTCCCCCAACCTCAATGACCTAGAACAAACCCTAACCCAAAAGCTCCTGTCAACAACCTTCTTCCCAAGTCCTAAATATAAAGGTTCCTTGCTGTCCCGCTCCACCCTCCCCAAATCCCCTTGTCCCCTAAAGGAGGCAAAAGCATGAAGAATGTGAAAGTCCAGAGACACAGGGAGCCTGAGGCCAGGAGAAAAATGAGTCCCTTATCAAAACATCCTCCCTATCCTGAAGTAGGGGAAAGGTTAATAAAAGCTCTGCAGTCAATAAACAAGACTATGCCGAAAGCCCAAGCTGCCCCAAATGATGCATGCCATTGTCAACCCTCATAAACCACAGAACAGGGACAAACAGGGATACTGGTCCTACTGAACAATAATGCCCAGACATAACCAGCATCTGTATTTAAAATGTTGACATTTTGCTCATCAAGGATCTTTTAAAACAAGTTTCTTTTTAAAAGCATTGTGCTGAAGTTACTATTTATCTTAATTTCCGAGTGTTGCCAAGTGTTTACATTTCTTCAATATTTACAAAGTCCTGTTGGTGGACAGACCATGTTCCTAAGAAACCACAATGCCTCTAAGCTCTGCAAGGAAGCGCGGCTGCACTGTGTGTGCAGATTGCTGGTTGCCTCTGCAGAACTAGGAAAACCCCAGGGACTCCAGGGCTCTGAGAAGAGAGGCGCCTCTCAAGGCCCAAAGGCCGACCTTGCCTTGTATTTCTTGGCAATACTTCATCCGCTTTCCAGCTGAACTTCTGCGAACCCTGCAATCCCGGGGCCGTTGCCATAGCAGGAAGGTAGATGCCACGCTCCTGAGAGCCCTGGCTAAGAGTGGAGTACCAGCCCAAAGAGAGACCCCCTAAGCTTCTTCTGCCAGGACTTGCTGACCCCTCTGCTCCACTGTAGGGGGAAAGCGTCGGATCACAGAGTGAGCTCCACACCGCAGCAGTGTGACCGTTGCGGTTTGACTTGCCAGCGCAGGCATATTTGACACCCGGCAGGTGGCGTCGCAGGTAGAGTTTAACAAAGGTCCCCACCTCCCAGCTCCGGTGTGCGCGGGCGTGACACGCACACACAGACACACACCACGCACGCACGCACCTGCGCCACCAGTCATCTCGCCCACACCCTCGGTGGCTGCAAAGGTCAGTCGAGGACACCCAGTGCTCCTCCCTGGTTCCGACCCCGGAATGTCACCCTGCCTCAAGTTCTAGCGTCCTGACTCGCCTTTGCTACCCCGGCCCTCCACTGGTCCTGCAGGACCGCTGAGGACGCCAGTTGGTTGGTTCTCTCCTCCTAATCTCAAGAGACAGCAGAATATTGGGGCACTGCACCTCGCGGCTGATACCCGGTTCTCCCCACTGGAGGTGGGGTCTCCAATGCCGCCGCCCCTTACCTCGCGCCCTTGGTGCAGATCCCGGAGGCGGGGGTGACCGGCAGGTCGGTGACTGAGCGGGGCTAGGATTCCCCGCCCTGGAGGAGGAAGAGAAGGCCAAGGGGCGGAGGGGCGTGGCTGGGGGGGAGGACTAGGAGGGGGGAGGGAAAAGCTTTGTGTCTGCCTCCGCCCTGCCCCTTCAAAGATCCCCTCCTCCCAGGTCTCCTCCCAGCTTCTCTGAGACCCAGTGGGGGCGAGCCGGTTGGAGGTGAAGAGCAAGGCGCCTGCGCGACCCCTGGTCCCGCCCACCCTCGGGCACTAATCGGGTTACCAGGAACTCTCAGGCTGGGACGTGTAGGACTGAATCGAAAAGTTTACCTAACCCAGAGCAAACTTGCCTGGACCCACCCCGACCGTCCTGGCTCCACTCCGTTCCCTCCTGCGCTCCCCGCCACTGCCAGAGTTTGTTTCTGGGAGGTTTCCCCTTTCTCCTTTCTTTCTCAGATGCGTGCAAGCACCTCCCTTTAGACCAATTTTGGATTGCGGGAAGGGGCCGCACGGACTGGAGAAGTTCAGCTGCCAGGGTCCCGGGGATGGGGGTAGGGGTGGGGTAGTTATAGTGTGGGCCCAGCCTGGGGTCAGCGCTGGCCACTGCCGCCCAGGTTTGAATGTGTGCTGGCCACTCTGGGCACGCACCATGGGGAGGTGGGGTGGAGTTGGCCCTGCACTCCGAAGTCTAAACCTCGCTGGAGACCAAGGAGGAAAGGGACAGTGCCGGAGACGGTGATCCTGTGTGCCTAGCTGGCAATTACCGAAGTGCTAAGTGGCCGGTGTCACGTGTCACAAAGGGAACAGCTAGGGTGTTCAAAGAGACCCGTGTTTTGCTCAGAATTGGAAAGGAATCTTTATGTTTGTTTCCTTCCTCCTACGGCAAAGGATGGGTATTGGTGAAAGGAGGCTTATAAAAATTTTTTTTAAGTACTTATCAATCACCAGGAATCTAGCACCAGCAAAACCTAAGACACCGACTGCACTCCTCTTTGTGTGCAAATCCCGTTTAATAATTTAGTAGCCGCGGTGCACCCGGTGTGTTCCAAGCTTGAGATGTGTGGGACAATAAGTCATCTGCCCTGCTCTGGTGGCTATGATATGCAGAGGGCTAAGGGTGGGCTGACAGGAGGAAAGCCGTGCACACCACAGGCAAATCACTGGGATGTGACACTCAGAGACCAGCGCTGAAGAAAAAGACAAAGGACGTCATGGATAGCTGGAGCCCTCGTGAACGGCCCAGGTTATAGAATGAAATAGGTTGGGCTGCATATGACCCCGCCTGCAGGTGGTGCTTGGGAAAAAAAAAGGGGGGGAGCTGAGCAAAGATTCTCTGCGAGGAGATGTGTGGAGCAGAGGCTCTGAGGGGAAAGATGGAAGCTGAAGCAAATTTGAGCAGTGGGTTCCACAACTGATGCAGCTGAAACCCCCAAAATAGAAAACAGAGAAGGAAACAGGCTAGAGAGAGAGGCAGGTAGCACGGAGCAGGCTTGCAGCTCGCAAGTGGGAGAGAGGCACCTGGAATCCCACGGATTTTGAAGGGAGCATTGAAAGGTCCTAGGACAGAGGTTCTCAACATTTGGGTCGCGACCCCGTGGAGGGTTTTGCATAGCAGATATTTACATTACGATTGATAACAGTAGCAAAATTACAAAGTAGCAACGACATACTTTTATGGTTAGGGGTCACCACAACATGAGGAACTGTATTAAAAGGTCAGAGCATTAGGAAGAGTTGAGAAGCACTGCCCTAAGAGGTTGGATATGTGAGCAAAAGGAAGGTGTGAACAAAGTGAGTGTCCCTCCCTTTCTCGGCCTCATTCAGCCTCAGAGGGTCTACTTTAATAAACAGTGAGCCCCAGGTTAGTGCTGGCTTCCACCCCACACACATTCTTCCTGCTTACCCTCTTACGAAGTTCCTTGGACAGTGCTTCCTGAACCACCCTTATGGGGCTCTTCAGGGTCCTGGGGTCCATTTTGTCCTGCTCTTCCCTCAATCTGGAAAATATGTTTTAGTGTAGGAATCTGTCTACCTATGGAATCCCTACACGGGGAATTCTAAATGGACCATTGCCAGCATATACGGGGTGTGGGGGGGATAGCTCTGAAAAGCTGCACTGTGGGGGGAACTTGCATCTATAATGTGGGTATAGAGTCGTTGCAAAGGACCTTTTCACTGGAAGAGGAGAGCAGGTTGACACCTGGCCCAGAGTGGCTTTTTGATGACTGTCAGTTGGGGGAGCGTAACTAACCAGAAGAACTTCTTCAGTGCATTTAGATCTCTTCTGCCTTCTTTCCAGTGAGCTCTGACCTTGGTCCACTGGCTAAGAAGCTATTACTGTAGCTTCTACTGCCTACCTCTTTCTGCGAGTCTTGCACTTGGTACATGGGACATGTTTCTACACATTCATAAATCCATATGCTTTTTTCTCATTAGCGTGTTTATCACTAGTTAATTTTGTGGGCCCAAATTGCTGAAGCTTCAGAGGGAAAAGAGAACACAAGACTTTCCTATAGTGCTACATTCTAAATACCGCTGTGAATACTTAGGCTTCAGTAACAAATCCGACTATACTGGGACCTGTCCAAATTCTGTGAGGGGGTGGGGGGAGAAGGAGAGAGAGAAGGGATGGAGCAGTGTGATGCCTGCCCTTAGTTCCTCTCATGCATTTGCTTCCTGTTTGGCAGGTTTGGCTCACCACCCAGGGGCCCTTTCAATGCACACTCTCAGGTCACTGTTGTCAACAAGGAACCAGCTAGCCAAGATGATGTCATTTCTACTGAAGTTTTACCTTTGACTTGATCAAGCGGCCCTGGGTCTAGAACTGCCCTCTAGAACTGACACCACAACACTGTTTCTTTCCCCTGGGTAGCAGGGTAAGTAAAGATGAATGTCATGGGCTCATAAAATGCCTGGAAAAGAACAGTTTAAGCTGCAAAATAATAATTGATGATGATTATGATGATGTAGTTGTTTAATGATCTGTGCCAAGAAGGGGTGATTGCACATTCCTCAAACTTTGCTCTGCACACCCCCAGGAGACAAATGGAGATTATTTGATGAAAGTAGCTGTTTCAGTTAGAACTACCCAAGTTAGTAGCTGTTTCAGTTTGTTAGAACTACCCAAGTTAGAACCAGACAATGGTGGCCCGTGTCTATCACTCAGGAGGCAGAGGCAGGTTGGTCTCTGTGAGTTCCAAGGAAGCCTTGGCTACTTAGCAAGTTCCAGGCTAGCCAAGGCTACAGAGAGAGTTCCAGGTCAGCCAGGCCTGCATAGTGAGACTCTGTCTCAGAAACCAGGGCTGGGGAGAGAGCTCAGTGGGTCAAGGGTTTGTCATCCAAGCATGAGAACTCGAGTCCCAGTGCTGGGGAGACAGAGACAGGAGGATCCCTGGAACTCTGGTCAATATGTTCTGACACTTTTCATCTTTGACTTTCAACTGTTTGCATCCTGGCATTTTTGTTACTTTGTCTTTTTTTTTTCTAGAGCTGAGGATCAAACCCAGGGCCCTGCGCTTTCTAGGCAAGCGCTCTACCAGGGAGCTAAATCCCCAACCCTGTATCCTGGCATTTCCATGTCTTGTTATACACTGCAGGCAGGATTTCTGTGTACCACATCTTTACTATGGATTGTGGATTGTGTTAATCACCAGGACAATGTGATTAACCTTTGCCCCATTCAGTGTTCGCCTGCAGTTATCCTTGGACAAAGTTCCTATCATGACCCCTGCTTTTGTATTTGCAGCCACCTGATAAAAATCTGTCTGTCTGTTTTGAAGTTCTCTGAGTCACTTTATGCTCAATGAGTT